TCTATGAGATAGAGTTTTATAAAGCCAACAAACACACACAAAAAAAACCTCCGCAGAGAGAAAGAAGCCTTAATTGAATTGTCAAACACAAATCTACCCAGAGACTCGGTTTGACAAAAACTCATCCGAAGCGCCGCCTGTCTGTCCGTCCGTCTGTCTCGCCGTTTCATTGTCCTGCCAACCTGTCTTCCTGTCCGACTGTCTGTCGGTTTGCGGGGAATCCAGTCGATGGAAAACGAGACGTGATGCAGGTGTTTGCCTCAAGCACTGATGGCTTTTTGGAGGGATTTTCAGATGTTTGTCTCTATGATCCGTTCTGGGAAGCGTCCTTTATAGACACAGTAGCTGTTAGCTAGAAAGCTAAAGGCTCATGTCGTTTTCCTAACTGTACATCTTTGATTCCTCTACCGTCATAGTCTGTCCCCGCAAAGAAGCAGTCGAGGCAACAGGTATTTACCAAAATAAGGTTCAACCCTTAGATGTCCATTTAAAAAAAAGTTACTTGGAGGTATCGTCCGTCCATCCATCCATTATCTATACACTGCTTAACCCTGGAGGTATACATCCATCTTTCCATTATCTATCCACCCCTAATCCTGGAAGTAAACATATTAAGATTATTTTTCTCTTTCGATGACTTTGTCCCGTGGTCTGTCATGAGGACACTGTAAGGCTGTTATCGTCCATTGTGGTCAATGACAAACACTTAATAACAACATGAAACTCTTGCAGTCATGTGAATAAGTTCGTCCAAATTGCCAGAAACTTTGCTGCACCTCCTGTTGGGGAAGTTTACCGCCATCTTTGCTGAAGAGATTTAGCGACTGTTAGCATGTATACGCCGATCAGCCCCAACATTAAAACCACTGACAGCTGAAGTTGTTTCAACGCAGTGTTCTGTTACGAAACCTTGTGTCCGTTGCACTCCGTCCTGATTGGACCAGAGTGGACTCAAGACGTCCAACCGGACAGTTATCTTCATAGGTCTTGAAGATATTAGCATGAGGTTTGGGGGCTCAGTTGGGGACACTTTGACTGTTGAACTCTTTAAAAGTTAATTCCTGTCAGTCTTTAGATGAGATGCTACTTTCTTGATATTTCTGTTAGAGCAGTACAGTTAGGCTTCAGTTTTGTTGGCATTTTTGTATAGTTTAGACTCGATGTACATACGCATCCAGTAGAAGTCCTCCTTTGGTTATTTGTTATATCTGAGCAGCTCCGTCTGCCCTCAGTTCCTTCTTTTGTTCTGCTAAATACCTAGTTTTCAAAAAAGTGACCATTGGTGCAGTTTCTTTGACACGTAGCCGCTGTAAGTGTTGATTCGGACCAAACGTAGCACATCTTCACCACTAAACAAAAACTGCTTGAGGAACATGAACAGGAGCCCGAGGATCTGAAATCCAAACGCTCAAGATTCCAGGATCTTCCTGGCCCCAACTTACACCCCACAAGACCTAAAGGATCGACTGCCAACACTGTGGTGTCGGACACCCCAAGAAAGTGGTACGATGGATCAGAACTGTTCTGGTGGCAGGAGATGAACCTTTGCAGTCTTCTGGATGTGGTTTTAATGTTGTCGGTGTGTATAGTTTCTGCAATCCAATGGTTTTTACACATTTTATCATAAGTGGGTCACATGTTGCTGAAGTCACGCTGGTCTGGTTCTGGTCCAGACTTGGGCTAAGTCTTGCTCTGGTTTTGGTCTTCAGTTCAGGTTCTGTTGACTGCACCACCAGCTCATGGTGTAAAATAATCAACAGCTTCTAAAGGGGTTCGTTGATGCTTCAGTTGGAAACGCTGGTCGACTGATTTACACTTTTGAGCAGGTTCACTATCAGATATTCTCATTATTACTCCACAGTCGTGTCACTAATCAATCAGTAACCGCTTCAACCAACTTTTAATTATTATTTTTCTAATTCTGCTTACAACTAGTTTCCAGTCAGCCTTTGGCTCTTTGCCTTCATCTACATTGTTCTCACTGAGTCTTTATAAAAGTTTTGTAACTCTGCTGCTTTTTTAGCTTCTGACCAGTTTGCGCACAGATTTTTATTTATTTTTTCCTCTCTTTTTTTTGTGTGTGTGTGTGAGTTTCCTTTTGTTCCTCTGGTTGTGATGGTGTGTAGAGATCTAAGCCACAGTTGGCTCGGCTTCACATGGGCCTGTGTGGAGAGACGAGGGGGTTTGTCAAAGGAATCGCCGCTTATTCTTCCTCCACCACAGAGATGGAAAAAAAAAAAAAACAACACAAAACAAAAACACAACACAACAGAAAGGAACGGCCTTCTTATTATCAATATTAATCTCTCTTTTTGGAAAGGCATCTGTAGGCTCTGAAGCTCGGCTGTCTTTAAAAAACACGCTTATTCAAGAAAGCCATGTTTGAACTTGCTAATGTTTTTTTTCTCTCTCGTACTTTTTCCCTCCCTTCGCCTCTTTCTGTCTACACGAGCTATTCTCTCTCTTCATTTAGCGTGCCATTAGCTCTCCAAGCTGTTGTTTGTTTTCTTGCTTTAATGTGCTTTTTTTTTTTTTTGAAAAAAACAACAAAAAAAAAAAAAAAAAAACCACGACGACAAGTGACTGAAATATAAAGCATGCGAGTCTTTTTTCGACTGTATGTGGTCGCATGGTTTGCAAATGTTTTCCTGAGCGCGCATGTGAAGAAAAACTGGCACTAAACTTACCCGAGTCCAGATGTTCTAATTATAGAACGGTTCTGCTGCCTAATGACAGGAAACGCTGGCCTCTGCGAGTGTGTGAGCGAGAAACATGAATGAAATTCTCGTCATTAACCTGCTGAACCCTGATTTCCTCCTTCGGTTTTCCCTCAAGTGGCTGTAAAGTTGCAGAAAACCGAACCTGCGTCTTTACTTTTTTACGTCCATGCGTTGGGCAACATGTGCTGATCGTGCAGAAGTGACGTTCTCAGTGTTGAAATTACTAGCAAGGGATTTTTCTTACCCGACATTGGTTCAAATAACCAGATTTTTCAACGTAACATCTTTTTTCAGTCACCTGTACGAACCAAAGTTCTGATATTGGACGCCACACATGCATAGTTCTTCTTATTATGCTCCTTTTAGAGGTAAAATGCAGTAAATCGGTGTATTCTGCGCATGTATGCTACTGCTCACCATGTGCATCATTAACTTTGTTGGTGCATATACATACATTTTGGCGATCCACGTGGACTCTCGCAGGACGAAAAGCCCCAGTGGACCAACCATGCAGCACTGACTTCCTTCCTATACGACTAAACTGCATTTCTATTGGCGGAAACGTATTTTCTGCTTTGCATTTGCAAAATATTGGAAATACAAATGAGTTCCTTCATAGGGAATTATTACCTGGATCGGCAGCTCTCGTCTGCTTTACCATTTTTAGTTTTCTTGAACATCTGTTCTGATGATCGTCCCGTAAACCAACTGGTCAAACTTAACAGATGTATACATGATAAGAAATGTATAATTTACTCTTTATATCTCATATAAAGCTTCTTGTACCTGCTAAATATGTTCTGGTATTTCATAATCTGGACATGTGAAGCTCTAACTGTGCCAGACGAACTCTGTCAACACCTTTTCTGGGCACCAACATGGTGGTCTGGACAGGACAGCTAAAGCTTAGCCTTCCCTCAGATTTAACCCTAGACTGTAGAAACTAGAAGGCAAAAAGGAAACCAGTGTTTCCCAGGTGTTTTCCAGTTCAAAAGTTTACCTGCTAATCAACCGATTTAGAGACTTTACTGGTGGACACAGTGCTGCATTTAGCTAAAGAGACGTAAAAGTGCTGGTGGAGACCAACAACGGAGCAAAAAGAGCGTAAATAATGTACTTAGATTAACCAGGTACCCACAGAACAACTCTGTCTCCACAAAATTACAATCCTGTACAACTAAACTGCATTTTCAGTTACGTTTTTAAGGGAAAAGTACCACAAATATGGTTAAATTTAACATGTCTTTGCCAGTCAAACATATGTTAGATGGACTTGTCACCATGGAAATCCAGAACATGGAGGACAAGCTTCAAACATGTCGTATTTAACCCAAATCAAGACATTTTTCCAAACTTTAACCAGCTTATTTTGGTGCATAAACTTATCTAACATGTAAAAATGTTGAATAAATTTTCCTAATTTGCTAATTTTCCAACAACAGAAGACATAGTTTTTCGTTACAGGATGTAAATTCTGGTCTTCAAGGTGAAAGTCAGGTTTATTTTTTCCATTTATCATCTTCCACTTTTAATACATTTTATTGTAGGTGGTTATGCGACTTTAAAATCTAATATAAATTTGGCTTGATTTGAGTTTCCATGACTTTTCATCTTGTCCTGGAACCAGCAGGAATCTCTCGTGAAAATTCAACCCACTTTTAAAAAATAACTAAAACCGCCGCCCGGTGCTACTACGACTAGATGGGACGTCGAGTTGTTGGTTCTTGGTTTCTGGTGCGTTTGGTCGCAGCTTGCAGATATTCAGGGCAGGTTGGGTGAGTGTCACTGACTCATTGTCATGAAGCTGTTATTTACTCTCTGATTTGTGGTTCTGATGAGGTGGAAGTAAAACCGTCCACGTTTGTTGGAGTTTATTTTCATTCTGAGGCACAGATTTATGGTTGTGAAGCTGCTGGTGACCCAATCAGCTGTTGTCCGGTCGGGAAAGTCAAAAACCAGTCGATGGATCAGATGAATTTAACACGACGTGGATCTGACTTGGTTTGGATGCGCTCTGTCCATCACTTCATTACTAAATATAAAACTGTCTGGATCCTTCTGTAGTTCTTAGACTTTGGACGCTCTAATTAAATGCACCTAATCTTGTGTTTTGTGAACTTTGAGCCTCCAAACAACCAACAAAACAACTTAAATTTGCAGCAGTCAACAGGCAGCAGCAGCGCTCCTGGATGGAGTTCTGTTCCTCCCTGTTTGGATTTTATTTTTTATTTTGCCTCAGATCCATGTTTTGTTTTTTTTAAAAATCCATTTGTCGCCCTGATGATGGTCATCCTCATCCGCTCTCCTCCCGTTGCCGCGGTAACAAGATGTCAATAGATTTGGCATCTCTATCCTCATCTCCAACTGTCCTCTCCATCAGAGCTCCGTAACCACGGAGACGGGAGGAGAGGACGTTGTTTTTTTGTTGTTGTTGTTGTTGTTTTATTATTTTTCGAGCTATCAAAGTTCAGACGGAGAGGCCATCTGCCGCCGTGCCTTGCTCAAAGGCTCCGTCCAGAACGAGGAAGAAAGGACGTTTTAGGAAGGAAGGTTTATCGGTGTTTGGAGGAGGAGGGAGGATGGAAAGAAAGGAAGGAAATAAACAAGTGGAAGCAACGTGGAAAAAAAGGAAACCAGAGCAAAACAGTGAAGAGAGGGATGAAGGAGAGCAAGGAAGAAGGAAACAAATTAGTACAAGAGGGAGATAAAGAAGGAGGAAATAGAAGGAAATCAGGGAAGGAGTGAAGGAAGGAGGTAAACGATAGAAAAAGATAAATAACAGACTAAAAAGAGGAGGAATAACATAAGGAGTGAAGAAGGAAGAAGAGAAAGGAAAGAGTGATAGAGGAGAAGAAAATGAACAGAGATGCTGAAAAGAGTAAAAAGTAAGAAGGAAAGGAAGGAAATAAAGGAAGAGCAGAAGGAAAAGGAGGGAGCAAGGGAAGGAGAGAAAGGAAGATGGAAGGAAGAGAGGAATGATGAGTAACAGAGAAGGACGTGAAAGAGTCGGAATAAAAACGAAGTGAAACAGGAAAGACGACAATCACTGAAAAATAGAAAAGAAAAGAGAGGAAGGATGAAGGAGGGATGGAAAAAGGAAGAAAAGAGAAAATGAGAGACAAGACAGATGGAATGAAATCAGGAAAGTAGAGATGAAGAGAAGGAAGCAAGGAAAGGAAAGAAGAAGTGAGAAAGGACAGAAGGAGGATGGAAAAGGAGAGAAGAAGGAAGGAAAGGAAGGAAGGAAAGAAATTATAGCAAAATAAAGAAAAGAGAGGGATATAGAAACTGCATTCAGACCTTTTTAAACTCTTGTTATTGTAAATATCAGCAGAGTTTTTGCACCTCATTTAACACATACGAGCGACTTCATACCTTAAATACCCCCAAAGGGGCAAATAAAACATCATCCGTCTATGAGGGAGGACGGAGGAAGGAAAGAAGTGGATATTTTACAGATATTCTCTGTTTTGTTAAATTACAGATGATATTCAGTCAAATTAGATTTAAAATTTTTTAAAAATATAATTTATTAGTTTTAAATTTGTATTTTTTACCGTATTATAAACAAAGTCAGACACCCGTCATCCATAC